GGGGGGGGGGGGGGGGGGGGGCTAACACGAGGACCGAGCATTTGCCAGTAACTGTGCCTCCCTTTTCATCTTCCCCCACCCCCATAGAGTAACAGTAGTGTCTAAAGCCAACACTCTCCCACACACCACATGCAACCAACTCACTGACACGCGCACTCTCACCCGTGTTGGGTGAAGAGTATACTAACACCGACTGGGAGGATCCTGCTGACTATCTGAGTTGGTTGGCACGGAGGAGGGTGCCAGGGGCGGCCATGGGAATTGAACGCACGACCTCCTAAATGGCACTTGCATTCCTAACCAATTGAGCTTGGCCAGCAGATTGAAAAATGATCATCTCTTTTTCTTTTTCGAAATGATGATATCTCAAGGCCGTCTCCCTTTTTCTCAAGAACAACAACAACAACAACAACAACAACAACAACAACAACAACAGCAACAACAATCGCTGCCCACTTGACTCAGGGCCCAACCCTGGACAGCTGGGCCACCCTGGCATCGGGCCCACTACCTACCGGTACTAGGGGCTGGATCCTTTAGTGGGCCGACAAGGCAGACCCACGCGTCTGAATCAGGACAAGTTTGGCTACCCGCTTGACGCAGTGCCCAACTCTCCTCTTCCTTGTTTATTTGGGGCATTGGCTGAGCAATTCTAACGGCGGCCCCAATACCTACCGTTATATGGGGGGTCTAATGCAAACCCGCCCACCTGAATTCACGAGACCCATTTGGTGCACCATTCCTTGTGCAAATGTTTGGCTGCCCGCTTGACTCAGGGCCCAACCCTGAACGGCTGGACCGCCCTGGCGTCGACCCACTACCTACGGGTACGAGGGGCTGGGTCCTTTAGTGGGCCCATAAGGCAAACCCTGGTGAGTTTGCATTATGGGCACACTAAAGGACCCTCCTTAATCTGGACATGTTTGTCTGCTCCCTGTTTCTCTCTCTCATTTTTTTTGTGGCATTGAGACGGTGACAAGGTCCTACTGGCAAGAGGATTGTAATGCCTGAATCTGGACATGCTTTTGGATAGGAGCAGAAAATGGCGATTGATTTATGCTTTCTTGCATCTCGGCATGAAACACGTCCAGATTCCGGCGATTACTGGCAGGGTCAGGCTACAGTGGGGGCAAACAACAAATCCAGATTCAGGCATTTACTGGCAGGGTAAGGCTACAACACGTCCAGGTTCAGATGCTTCTTCCAATCCTCTTTGCTAGTGAGACCTCGCCCCAGGAGAGAGTGAGCCAGGGGGGAAAGGCACTTAATCCAGTCCTCTTTGCTAGGTTTTTCTTTTTCCTTTTTGTCTTTCTCTGCTCAGCAATCATAACAATGGATTCAAACTCACGTCTAAATTTCAACAGTGCATGGGCGTATCCACTGACGGCATACTCACCCACCGTTGGCAGAAACAGTGCTACTGTGAATGTGCCCTGAGCTTGCTGCAAAGCTGAGACGGGGTGGGGAGGGGTGTGTGGGGGGGTCTGCAACAGCTGAACATAACAGGTGGGTGCAAACTCAGGTCTGACTGAGGGCATATTCACACTAGCTCTTTCCCAAGGGTATCTGACAGCAGTTATGCCTGCTGGGATGGATAAGCACGACTCCAATCATCTGCAGCAGAGAAATTCCTAGTGTGAGTATGGCCTGAGCTTCTGAAAAGCTGACTTTGGGGGGTGAGGCGGCGTAGCCTCCCCGTAGCCTCCTCTTCTCCACAGCTAAGTATCGCAGACGGATGCAAACTCAGGTCCGGACTGAGGGCATACCCACACTAGCACTGCCTAAGTTTATCTGACCACAGTTATGGCCGGGTTCGCAGAAAAACTCCTAGTATGAGTATGTCTGAGCTGGCCAACACAAGTTTCAGCAGTTCATGGGTCCACTGCGTCCTTTCTCTCTCAATGCCAAGGCATCCGCCCAATCCCAAAACCCGGGGACGTGTGCCAAAGGGCAGAGTTGCTCAGTCCAAGAAATCACAGGAAACACTCCTTAGTTCTGCCTTAGTGGAAGTAGGTGCTGGTACCGGACAGACGACTAAACGACATCTCGAAGTGCAGCAATACGACAAGCACAAAGTGGCAGACGCGACTGAGCTCATACTCACACTAGCACTCCCCTAAGTCTATCTGACCGCAAAACGTCACGAAAATCACATAGCATAGTACTGCTAAACCCTGCCATCCAAACATCATGAATACCTCAGACAGTCATACTTCACGTCTGTACTTTAACAGTCCAAAAGCGAGCACAGGGTGGCGGGATGGGGGGGGGGAGCGAAGGAGGGCGAAGGAGGGCGTGGCCCCTCTTCCCCAAAATTGAGCAATCATGAATTCCTCACATAGCATAGTGCTATACCTCGTGAAGGCACAGACCATGCTCTCTCTCAAAAAATTGAACACCCTGCCAAGTCTGATCAAAATCATACTTGGATGTCTCACATAGCATACCTCTGCTCCCGGTCAGACCCCCCCATCTAAAAAAAACGGACTGAATGTAGAGCCTCGCTCCGCTACTCTCGGCATGTGCAAAACGAGAGTGAATCTCCCCCGTCATGAAGTATCCACGGATGGGATTAGGCCCGAAGATGCATACGTTACTGGCCACGACCCCAGTATGTGACTGGGGTCAGATCATTCTCGGGAATGTGTGGTTATTGCCACAACTTCGTAAAGAATTATAGTACGATCGCATCTCCCTTGACTGATCTAACTCGACTTGACACACCATGGGATTGTACCGACGAGTGTGAGGCAACTTTCAAGCGTTTGAAGCATGCTCTCACACACCATGAGGTTCTCATGGTACCCGACCCGCAAAGGCCATTTGTTGTAACCACTGACGCAAGCCAATACGGCATTGGCGCAGTGCTGGCTCAACAGGACAAGAAAAAGTTGAGACCGGTCGAGTACATGAGCAAAAAGATGCCATCAAAGAAGTTGGCAAAGTCCACCTACGAGAGGGAACTCTATGCTCTCTACAAGGCACTTGTCCACTGGAGGCACTATCTGTTAGGAAGGTTCTTCTACTTGAGAACTGACCATCAGACCCTCAAGTGGATCAAGACACAACCCGTTCTCTCCGATGCACTCAAACGCTGGATTGAAGTCATAGATCAGTATGACTTCAAACTAGACTATGTGAAAGGAGAGTACAATAAGGTTGCATATGCGTTGTGTAGAAGGGCAGATTATCTGGGTGCACTAATTTATGAGTTTGGCTTTTCTGAAGACGTGACTCGATCTTTGGGGGAAGCCTACAGGGAAGATCTCATCACGATGGACATCATCAACAAACTGCAGGCCAAAGACAAGGCCATCACTGACGAGTTTGTGATGGTGGATGGGTTACTTTTTCTTGAAAAGGCAGGGTTCAAAAGGATAGTTGTTCCATCTAGCGAAATTTTGCGTAGTTTATTCTTAGGAGAATGTCACGACGCAACGGGACATTTCGGCTACAAGAAGACCAGTGCTAACTTAGTACAGCGATTTTGGTGGCCTAACATGCTAGACGATGCAAAGAAGTATGTACAGACCTGTCAAGTCTGTCAGCGGGACAAGCCGCGGACTCAAGCTCCGCTTGGGTTACTCAAGCCTCTACCCATTCCTGCTGGCCGAGGGCAGAGTATCTCCATGGACTGCATGGATTCTCTCGTGACCAGCAAGAATGGCAAGAGGCACATCTTCGTCATAGTGGATAGGTTCACTAAGTATGCTAGACTAATTGCCATGCCGGAGACTGCCAGGACTGAGCATGTCATTAAGTTGTTCATGGACAACTGGGTGCGTGACTTTGGACTGCCAAAGACAATCGTTAGTGATAGAGACGTGTGTTTCACAAGGGAGATGTGTAAGAAGGCCGCTGAACAGATGGGCAGCCAGCTTCAGATGACTTTTGGGAATCATCCCGAAGCAAATAGGCAGGCTGAACAGATGAACCGTGTGGTGCAGCATCTGCTGAGGCATTACATCAAGCCCAGCCAGGATGACTGGGATGAGAAATTACCTCTCATCGCCAGYCWGTACAAYAATRYTGTACAYARSACCACCGGCGTCARTCCTRRTCARCTGCATCTGGGATGGAAGCCTAGATCTGCTCTAGACTTCCTCCTGCCTGAAAACCGAACTGCTGCAACTCCTGGAACCATTGAATTTGGTGTCCAGTATGAGAAATTGTTGCAGCAGACTGTCGAACACATCAAGAAATCTCAGGAAGCTATGATTGCTTCTGAGAACAAGCGTCGCCGACAGTCCACGTTTCAGGTAGGGGATCGTGTCTGGGTCAAGGCTAGTGAGTTGGGACAGGAGTTTGGCATCTCTAGGAAACTAATGCCCCAGTATTTCGATCCCTGGGAAGTCTTAGACATTGTGGGGAATGATTTGGATGGTCCCTCGTACGTCATTTGTATCCCTGGTCGCCTACGCACTTGCCCTGTTTTTCACGCCTCCAAGCTTGCACCTTTCGCTGAGACAGCACAGTTCCCATCGCGGAGATCTATGCTGCCCCCAACCATGGATGGCCACATGGACGTTGATGACATTCTGGATCACAGAGACACGCCTGTTCCCAAGCCACCTGGTAGGGGAAGACCTCCTAAACCTGCAAGGGAGTTTAGAGTACATTCAGGCATCATACTGATTCGAAGGAAGATCGATGGATTTCAAGGGAGGAACTTGTCAAGACAGCTCCTCAGATCGTGGCAGATTATGAGAAGAAGCTGAAGGGGAAGGCACCAGCATGAAGCATCTCAGCGGACTTTCGAAGCTAAGCGGGATGGAATGTCAGGAACGAGTCCTCAAGGGGCCCTGTCAGATATCACATGTTCTGGGCTAAGGCCCCAGCACGGCAAGTGCCCGCCCTAAGTGAAGGCGGGCCTGAATATTCGTCGAAGGCCAAATTTGAAGTTTCGACCTTTCCTTATGTGGGTATTCATGCTCTCGCAGCACGCCAGTTGGTTGGGCAGACGCGCGAGCCTTACTAAGCTGCGTCGTACAGTTGGCCCAGGCCTTGACAGTTGCACCTGGGCACATACACACAAAGCAGGGCCGATACATCGGGAAGCAAGCCATCGGCCTTTGGAAAAGCAGAACTGCTGACGCACTTACCTGGGAGCCCTGCACAGATGCAGCAAACAGCCCAAGTCCGGAGACTCAGGCCGTGCCCAACTGTAACAGGCCCAGGCCCTCAACTGTAGTCTCGGGCCTGGGCGCAGGGTTTGAGGCCCAACCGGAAGCTACTGGAAGCTTCCAGCCAGGCCACATGCATCATCCAGGAGAGGGCAGCGGTGCGCAGGCGGCCATAGCCCGGCTGCTGGGCGCCAGGGGGGTACAGCGGTTGATCTGGTGGTCTTAAGGGAAGGAGGCGCAGTGTGGGGTAATCAAGTTCTGATTGAGGGTGACGAGATACGTACCTGGTGCATGACGAGAGGTCGGCTATGGAGTTGACAGTCATGTACATTGGTCTACGAGAGTCGAAGTGAGCCTGTTGCGTGAACCAGCTGTAGGTAGGATAGTCGGGCAGAGTAGGTTGGGCGCTGGGCGCCAGACAGAGCGGAGGGACTCTGGATACTGTGTTGGTGTGGCCTACGAGCTTGAACATTGGCTCATTACTTCATTGTATTGCTCTATATGGATGATTTCTCGGTGCATTTTGTACTCTCTGCTTGGATACGACTACCTGGACATCTGTGTGATTTCACAACATTGGTTTTCTGTATATCGTTCACACTCGTATTTCTTGCAATAAGATTTCGTCACTTAAAAAAACTCCCTGAATACACACTGCAGGACCACGGCGAGTTGGGACCACGGCGAATATATAACTTAAAATTGGTCAAATTGTTGTGCTTCATTACATACTCACAATGTTCTCATCTTGGCTCTGTCGATTGTTGTGTTCTCAGGTTCTTAAAGAGTTCATTGGAGTTATGGGACATATTATGGTGGCTTGCACTGCCTGCTAATTTTAGGTTGTCTTCACATCTATTGCATGCATTCATATATCTTCCAACTTTGATTTAGTGTAGCCTAGTTAAATATATAGCTAGCCTAAGCGAGGAGAAAAGATCACACAATATATCAATCAGTATTGAGCCAGCACTTAATCTCTGACTCAGCACTGAGTCAGCACGACTTAGCGACGTCGTAGCATAAGCTCTCTCCAGTGACAAAATCCAAATTCCTGTTGACGACTTTGGGGAAAGCCCTCAATTTGTTGCAGTATGCTAAGCTTGGGAATAGGTAAGTCTCATGTTGTTGTGTACAGCATGATTTGAGGGTGAAAGAAAAACGACGAGATGTTTTGAGCAATCTCGAGCGGCTTCACTCAACCTTGATGACGTATGGCAGGGATTTTACCCCAGTTGTCCTTGCACCGATAGGACTATGTCACACATGCTTCTCTGCTAAAGAATTGTGACCGATGCGGTATCTTTCTGGGAAATCAATGATACGCTGGCAAGATAACCGGCGATAGTGAATTTACGCAAATCAGTTCTCGAAGCGAAGGCTGTATATCACGCCCATCTAACAGCTTTGTGAGCCTGGACCTGGTTAACAGATCAAATCCTCAGCAGAAGGAATGGGTCATAGAGGTGCGATAAATGTGATCAGAGGCGTGTGCATGGTATATTGAGGGTTGTGATTGGTCCTGCCGCATGCTGTGGAGCTGCTGGATGGATAGGACGGGCAGTGTTCCCGTCTTGGCTGGTCACAGACCATGAAGATTCGACTCAGTTCTCTTTCCCAATTGGTAAGATGAGTTGGACTCCCGTCTCGTTGGGCTGCAGGCTGTAAATATTTAGTGGTCGTCTCTTCTCATTCTCAGTGGATGAGATCTGCAACTCCACCGTCTGATCCGATTGCAGATCGTGAAGGCTTGCCCCACTTCTCTTCCTCATTACATAACCCCCCTGGTGTTTCCATTGTGGCTGTTTGCCGGCTATGAAGATTGGCCCCCTTTTCTTTCTTAGCGTATCTGTTAGAATAAACAAATATTTCTTAAGTCTCTGCTGCATTTCGTGGCACATGCGGTCAGGCTTTGTATTTTGATTTCGTACTTCCATTCCCTTGAGATAATGCATTGGATCCACACCACCTATGTGCTTGGGGGAGCACTGTACACTTTGTGGGGCAAGGGAGGAATACTTATCTAGTGTGATGGTTAGGAGGACGGAGTGTGCGCATGACAAGAAGTTTCCATGCCTAGAGGTCCATGATGGCGTCGAGTGATGTTGAGCTAGGCAAGGTGGCGGAATATTTGTCCATTATCTCGAAACTCGTCCGCAGAATAAAGGTTCACCGGCAGAACTTCTCACTTCTTGCTCAGCGGGCGGACTTAGTTGCTCACCTAGTGGACGAGCTTATTGACGAGAGCCCTGCATTATCTTCCCAAGCAATCGATTACTTAAAGTCCCTGGAGAGAACTCTTCAGAAAGCGAAGACGTTCGTTCAAGGGTGCCACAAATGGAGCAGAATCTACCTGGTAATCTTCCACTCCCTTCTCCCCTTCCCTCTGCTGTGACGGCGTCTTCTTTGCGGTTTCTCTCCCTCCCTCATCTTCTTATGCCCAGTTGCCTCACACATATCTCCATTTTCGTCCATTGTTTGCCGCCTCATTATCCTTTTCCTCCTCCTCCTCCTCCTCCTCTTCTTCTTCTTCTTCTTCTTCTTCTTCTTCTTCTTTTCTTCTTCTTCTTCTTCTTCTTCTTCTTCTTCTTCTTCTTCTTCTTCTTCTTCTTCTTCTTCTTCTGCTTCTTGTTTTTGTTCTTGTTCTTGTTCTTGTTCTTGTTCTTCTCCTTCTCCTTCTCCTCCTCCTCCTGCTTCTTGTTCGTGTTTTTGTTCTTGTTCTTGTGCTTGTTCTTCTCCTTCTCCTTCTCCTCCTCCTCCTCCAGCTTCTTCTCTCTCTTCTGCTTCTTCTCCTTCTTCTCCTTCTTCTCCTCCTTCTCCTTCTTCTCTCCTTCTTCTCCTTCTTCTTCTGCGTCTTCTGCTTCTTATCCTTCTTTTGCTTCTTCTTCTGCCTCTGCTTCTTTTTTTGGTTCTTCTTCTTCTTCTTCTTCTTCTTCTTCTTCTTCTTCTTCTTCTTCTTCTTCTTCTTCTTCTTCACCATACGTGTGTGGTAGTGCTCCATTGCTGTATTTTGCTTGCATTTACTGCTGCTTTTTGTTTTCATCTCTTTCTTGTCAGTACTAGTTTAGTTTGGAAACTTCGGATGGTCCTGTGCAACAGGCGCTTGCAATGAACTGAGCCGTGCCAACTTGTTGTCGGACTGCTGTGTATTTTCTAGCTTCTCCAAGGAGAGTTCGTGGTTGATCAGCTTGCAGAATTCAGCTCTGTACTGGACAATTTACTACAGCTCATCCCTCTGCAGCAGCTACCAGTCTCTGACGACGTCCATGATCAGGTGTGGATATAACGATATAATGAATGGCAAACTTGGCACGAATCCTTCTGTTTCTTTTGTTTATGATGTAGTTGGCTACAGCAGTATGGCGGGAACAGAAGGAAGGTCATACCTGGGGCAGGGTCAAAGTAATCAAGCTATCAGGATTGGAACT